CGAACCTGGGCCGCACGCATGCCAGGCGAGCGCGCTACCACTTGAGCCACATCCCCAGCCCCTTAATCTATTTTTAAATAAATTAAATAATAAATAAAAATTTAAAAATAAAGACATGCTGTCCGTCTAAAACTACAAAAAAGGTTTTAAAAAAAGGTTGGTTAATTTCCTGGCCAGGAAGCTTCCAAAAAGTATGATGGGAGTTAGCAGAAGAAAAATCTGAACAGGCATAAATTGTAGTTAAATTCCAGTCTTTCATATGCTTTCAGCCAGGAAATGTAAAGCATAATTAATTTATTTTCTACTGTTCAGCAGTTTAAATTTAGTATTTCTGATTGTCCCTGTATATGGGGCAGGATGGGCCAGAGTTATCAGAAGAGAGGTAGGAGAGGAAAGTCATTCTTTTAAACATTGTCCTTTGAGTCTTGTGAAAGTTTATATTTCTTTCTTTTTTTTTTGGTAATATTGTACTTTATTAATTTATCAGTATTGTAGGTGTTAGGTTGCCTTTTTTTAAATATATATATTTTTTAGTTGTAACTGAACAAAATATCTCTATTTTATTTGGATGCTGAGGATCCAATTCAGGGCCTCTCAACATGGGAGGCGAGCGCTCTACCACTGAGCCAAAACCCCAGCCTTATATTTCTTTGTAGTGTGCTATTTATATTTAATTTCATGTTTCTTTTTCCAATTTAATAACTAGATCTAGAGTGGGGGAAATTCTCTTAAGATTTATGTATTTAAGGAACAAAGAATGGGATTTGTAATATAAAGAGGTCTAGAAGGACTTAAGTTTTGCTTTCTTTGTATCTAAGTAAGATCAATTTTTCAAAACAAAGCTTTTAAAATTTATATTTTGTACACATTTAAGAGAAGTTCCTTTGTGGTCTGAAATCTTGACATGGAGGGGTTCTCACATAATTTTAAAACTACTATTAAAAAATCAAATTTGCCTTTATTTTTTATGCAGATTTTACAGATTGAGTTTTATAACTAAAACTACATTGATGGAAGCTTCTCTGCACATATTAATTTGAATTTTTTAAAAGCAGTGTCAGTTTATTGAACATAATTCATTATTTTATATTGCTTATACAGAAATAGAAAACTTCAGTAATTTGCTAAATGCAACATTTAAGAATCAGGGATTTTTTGTTTGTTTTTGGTTTTATTTGTGTCTGTTTTACCAAAGTTAGCTTTTACTGATTTTTGATCTGAATTTAAAATTTCTTTGACTTACAGTGGTTGGTTCTGCACGTGCACGGCCTAGTCAACTTCCTGAACAGTCTTCCTCTGCACAACAGAATGGTAGTGTTTCAGATATATCTCCAGTTCAAGCTGCAAAAAAGGAATTTGGACCTCCTTGTATGTAAATCAGTATCAAGGATTCAGTCATTTTTGGCATACATGTTTTCTCTCTTGGTCATTCTTATAAGTTCCTAAATGGTAAAGTCTACCTCTGAGTTTTATTGCAGATTTCATTTTACTACTCTAGAATATTTTTTATTTTTGCCACTTTAAGTCTGTTAATGGCATTTTTAAATGTATATTTTAGAGAAAAAATTTTGTGTGACATAAATTTCTTCAGTTACTTTGAATTTAAAATTCTGGTCAAATAATAATTTGTCAAGGCATTATAGGAAAAAGTATTAGGCTTCTTAGTACTTTCATTTGAAAGATCTGTGATTTTTAAACCAAGAGATGACATGTATCAATATGTTTGAGTCATTTTTCTTGACTCTGTTTTGTATATTGTCCTGTTCCTAGCTTTGTTAAAGCAGCTCATAAGAAAAGTTCACATAGGTGTAATTGGCATTGCATGCCTTGTCATATGTATTTATTTTTTTTTGTATATGTGATGAAATTATTCATAATTTTCTGTAAGTACAGTATTCTAAAAAGAAAACTATATTTCTGCAGCTCACCTTTTTCTTTCAGCACGTAGAAAATCTAATTGTGTGAAAGAAGTGGAAAAACTACAAGAAAAACGAGAAAAAAGGAGATTGCAACAGCAAGAACTCAGAGAAAAAAGAGCTCAGGTTTGTAACAGAAATATATTTTGTTTCCAACCAAAGATTAAACTATATCAGTGAATATGATTAACTTGTGAAAAATAATAGAGCTATTCATTTTAAGTATTTAGAAAATTCCTTAAATTGATATTGAGGAATGAAATAAGCTTTTGTGATAACAAATTGCCATAGCAGATTTTTATTGCATGTACTTTTTACATGGTTTAGTGAGTATGTGTTGGCTTCAAAGTTTGTTCTTTTTCAATAATACACTATTATGTTACAGAATTCTAATGTGTATGTTATGTTTATGACTAATTGTCTTTTAATTTTAAAAAGATCTAAAACTACATTTGGAAAAACAACCCAGGAACGTACATGATTGTACTATAAATTTCCATTATTGGTTTTCCATTATTAAGTTCTATGTGGCATAGTGAAATGGGGTAAATTTTGTGTTTCAGTTTATACTAAATATTAAGAATGAATCTCTACCTTGTGTTCTTTTCTTCCTTCAAATGATAGTAAAACTTTTTAATAGCAATGGTCTTTTATCCCTTTATAAGGTCTTTGTGTTAGAAATTTTGTTGTTAAACCTATAACTCCTCTGTTATGCTTTTTAAAATATCTATTATGGTCTAAGAACTTGTTTCCTATAGTAAGACATCAGGTTGTTTATTTAGTAGTATTTTCAAATGGTATTAGGTTGCCAATTCATGTGAAATTGTGGGCCCAGTGTAATATTCAACCTGAATAAATCAGCTTACACCTGAAAGTTACCTGAGAATGTCTAGTTGGATTTTGAAATAAATAATACACAAAACAGATATTTACTGATACTTAGCATTGATGCCACCAAGTGTTTTCTGTGTATACTTCATAATACTTACATATATATCTCTCTCTTTGCTTTATTTTTAACATCACATTCTGTTTTTGAGTTCATATAGTTGGTATTATTTCCTGTCAGGTCAAATGAAAGTGAGTTTCAATAATAGTTCTGAAATTTACATTCAAAGCAATTCTGAATATGATGTATGAAAAAAAATCTTACTTAGAATATTCAGTCATTTATTTCATGGTTTGGCATGCTATTTGTAACAATCTGAAGTTTTGCAATTTTGAAGCAAATAGGTAAACTGCAATTAGCATTTGATGATTTAAAGTTAAAACATTTTTAAAAAAATTATCTTGGCTTTTGATTCTTTTTTAAGTTCTATGTCCTATTGCTTTTTAGCTATTTTATAATATGTTAGAGTTTTTTAAAAATTACTTTTAGAGAGTCAATAAATATAGGACATGAATCTAAATGAATTCACATTCCACTTTGCTGAAACACTAGATGAATCACACAGAAGAATTTGAATTGCTTAGAAGAAGAATTTGAATTTAAGAATGAATTTTTCTAATATTTCAACTTGAGAGTTTTGTCATTGTTTTTAATGAGTGCTATTTCTCTTCTCCAATTTCTAGGATTAAGTATATAACAGATGATTTTTGGTATATAGTTAAAGGTGGTTTTAAGAATGATTCTTTGGAGTTAAAAGGATACATGTTTACTAATGGAATTGTATTTGCTATCAAAGTGATCTGAACATAATAAACATGAACTCTGAACTATCATAGACCACATTTTCAGTTCAGGTTGGGTCTTAGTTATGACAAATGATACTTAATTGAATTTTCAAACCATGTAATATAAATGTAACAAATATAGCATTATTATAATTATAATAAATGGCAAATACTTTGTCTTCTAATAGGATGTTGATGCTACAAATCCAAATTATGAAATTATGTGTATGATCAGAGACTTTAGAGGAAGTTTGGATTATAGACCACTAACAACAGCAGATCCTGTAAGATTCTTTGTTTTAAACTATTGCTGAGGGAGTGTTTATGCTATCACTAAAAAACGTGTTTTGATACTTACTAAATTCCTATTGTATTTAGCTAAATGTTTTTTCCTTTTGGGGGCTCATTTCCCATATTTTAAGAGGAAAATCAAGAAATCATCTACTTTTCTGTACATCTTCCATAGTTTTAAATACTAGAGGTGCTGCCCATAGAGATGACCCTTTTCAAAGAAAAGCATGCCTTTGGAAGGGCAGAACAATAGCTAAGATAATGACATAAGAACCAGTTTCCTTCTAATCATCTCGTAATTTGGTTTCAGTTATAAGCTTATTTTGTCTTTGACTTGGACTGTAGATTTCACTATCATTCCATTTTTATTATTATTTAATTTGTTATTTGAAAATAAATATTATTCTGGCTTTTAACAGTAAATGATGGTTGTTGAGGAGTTGCAGTGGACCAAAACTCCAGTGCTGAAAATTTTTCTGTAGTCTTACTGCTTGTTTCCTGTTGAGGAGTGATAATTTGTTGCACAGAAAATAATTTTATGTGTAACGTGAAAAATAATCCATCTGACCTAGCATATATAGAATGTGTTAGGTTTATGTATTATATAAGATTTCATAAAATTGTCACAACATTTGTATCCCATATATTTCAGTCCTTGCTAGTCCTCCATGTCTTTTACCTCCTGCATCTTGAGCTCATGTTTCACAAGAAATTGACCAACTTTCTGAAATGGGCTGATGATAGTAAATGGCTTTCAATCCCTGCTTCATCTTATGAGAACATAAGTTTTATGAAAATAAAATTTGTGCAAAATAGTTGTCATATTTATGAAATTATTCAAATTTTGCTTGGTAATCTTTTGAGAATCCATTTTTTTTTCTATAGTGATCTTTGCGAACAACTTTCCTTATCATCCTGGAAATATGCTAGTTGATAGAATAAAATTTTTACTTTAGTTGTATACAATTTATCTTGAAGTGAATAAGGCACCTTCTTGACATAAACTTAACGCTAAGAACATTAGAACCCTCTACAAATTTTTTTACGTAGGGCTGGGGTTGTAGCTCACTTGTCTTGCACATGTGAGGCCCTAGGTTCAATTCTCAGTACCACATAAAAATAAATACATAAAATAAAGGTATTCATGTACAACTAAAAAAAACTTACTAAAAAAATAAAAAATGAAAGGTCAAGGAATGTAACTCAGGGTAGAGTATCCCTGGGTTCAATCCCCAGTACCCCCCTCAAATATTTTTTAAAAAAAAATTTTTTTAACTTATAGTAATGGTTTACCAAAAAGAAAATGAGCAAGTTTCCATTACACTTAGAACTTTAGAAATAATTGTGCCTGATAAGTATTAAAATTTAAATTTAAGCAAAGCTAATTTATTTTTTGAACTTACTTATGCTGCTTACGTATTTATAAAACTGATGGAGAAGATTACATTGACTTTCTGGCATTTTATATACCACTGATAATCACTTAAATAAGACTTTTTATTCCTAGATTGATGAACATAGAATATGTGTTTGTGTAAGAAAACGACCACTCAATAAAAAAGGTATGGTGCTTAATGAACCCTATAAAGTTGAATTTGCCTTATTTGCAATGTATCTTAATAATAGTACAAATCAAATTGGTTTGAAAAAGTTCAATGTAAATAATTTCATTTGTATGTTAACTATTATGCAGATTTCTATGACTACACCTGTTGGTCTGTCACTTCTATAAATCATTGCCAGCTGGGCCAGGCATGGTGGTGATGGTGCACACTTAAAATCTATGTGAAACAGGAGGCTAAGACAGTAGGATCACAAGTTCAAGACCAGTGTCAGCAATTTAGTGAGGCCCTAAGCAACTTAATAAAACCCTGTCTCAAAAATAAAATAATAAAGAAAACCTGAGGATTGAGCCTCTGGGTTCAATCCCAGATACTGCCCCCCCCCCCAAAAAAAAAAGCCATTTCTGATTCTTGGTTTACAGAAATCTTGTTTTAAACTGTTGTTGAAATAGTCTTGACTTATTTGAGTTACTAAATTTTTTTAGGGGGTATTTTCTAAATTTTTACAGTTTTTACTACTTTTATCTAAATTCTTACTACTTAAGCTGGTTGAGGAAGTTTGAGTGAGGAGGATCACAAGTTTGTGGTCAAGCCTGGGAAACATGGTGAGACTCTGTCTGAAATACAATAAAAAGGGTTGGGAATATAACTCAGTGGTAGACTACCCCCTGTATTCAATCCCCCCAGTACTACCCCTTTCCCATCCCCACCCCCCCAAAATCTTGCTACTTAGGTACCTTAATTTAAATGCTATGAGAATTAATGGGCAATGATTTTCACTTATTTTTTTAGAAACTCAAATGAAAGATCTTGATGTAATCACAATCCCCAGTAAAGATGTTGTGATGGTACATGAACCTAAACAAAAAGTAGATTTAACAAGGTACCTAGAAAACCAAACATTTCGTTTTGATTATGCCTTTGATGACTCAGCTCCTAATGAAATGGTTTACAGGTAGGTGAATTTGTTTTAAATCAGAATCTTGTTCCTATACCGTGCGTGTGTTCACTACTTCCCTGAAACTTAAATTGCATTGGATGTAGCTCTATAGGGCTGTAATGTGCTTTTTCATTCTGAGTGTAAATAAAGACAATGTAAAAAACTCTGTAATATTGGGGTTGGGGTTGTGGTTGTGGCTCAGTGGTAGAGTGCTCGCTTAGCATGCTCGAGGCACTGAGTTCAATATTCAGCACCATATAAATGTAAAATAAAGATGTTGTGTCCACTTAAAACTAAACAGTAAATATTAAAAAATTCTCCCAAATTCTGAGAGTACTAATGCTTGTTCTCTTTAATGCTTCCCCCAAATATACTTTTCTTTGCCAATTGCTTATTACACACCCCCCCACACCCCACCCTCAACCCCATACATAGAGAAGAAATTTCTGGAAAGCATTGTTATAATCTTTAAGTAATGGAATGTAGTATGAAGAGAACTTTACATTTTAATCGCTGCACTAGGAATAAATTTGAAATACCTGTTGTTATACATTAATCATCATTTGTTTAAAAGTATTTAGCATTTACTGCCACTTAAGTTAAAAACATTCTATATCTACTATTTAACGATTGCTTAATATTTTCATCTTTAAGCTTGTGGGTAGTTTTTTTGGGGTATATGGTTTTAATATGCGTTTATTACGTTTATGTATTCAGCTTATAGACAATTCAAAGTTATATACATGAATATCCCACATTCTTGTCAAATGTAGATCGTTTTCAGTTTGCAAAGTTTCATTTCTAGAAACTAACATTAGTTTTAGCAGCATTGTTATTTTATTCTATGTAAAACTGCTTTGCAGTTGCTTGAACGTACCATGTTTTTTTTTGTCCTTTATTTTATACAGATGCTTAGAAAGCAGAAGAATTAACAAGAGTCTTAAAAATTGAAAGTATTACTACATATGAAATATAGTTAAGACCAACTTCATTGATCTTAAGCCAGTAAACTGGGAGTTCATTTGTAAAATGAACAAAATTAAAGAACATATTAATGCTAGATATATTGGGAAGAATATATTTAAATAGAGAATTATAATAGCAATTTTTTTTTTTAGCTTTCTGCAAATACAATTCTGTCCTCATTTACTTTCCTACCCCTGCCTCATAAAATTTAAGCCTGTTGGACTTTTAAAAATTTATTTATTTTAGTTGTAAAATAAATAAATAATAAATAGACACATACCTTTATTTTTATTTTTATGTGATGCTGCAGATCAAACCTGGTGCCTCTCATGTGCTAAGCAAGTGTTCTACCACTGAGCCACAACCCCAACCCAAGCAGTTTGACTTTTATAATAGTTTTTAAGTAATTATTATAAACATGTTTCTGTATATGATAGATTTAATAAACAGTTTGTATTTGACATTGCATTTTACACTTCTTAACATTACCAGTATTTATCCTCTCTTTCATATTTTTATGGATTGAGAAATTATACATATACATACATATTTTATAAATATATGTATGTGTATATATATATGTGTGTGTGTGTGTGTGTGTATATATATATATACACACATATATATACACACATAATTTTTTAAAAATTTTGATCTGATCACTCTTCAGGTTTATTTCTATTTCTTTTGACCAGAGGTTTTTCCTTTTCTTTTTGTTTTGTACCTTTTCCAATTTGGCCTTGAAAATTTTAAGCAGAGCTATCCAAAGTGTTCCATTTGTAGATTTATTTTCTAACATACATTTTATGTTCAGTGAGGAATTATTTATCCTTCACCATTATATTGTTTTATTTTATATTTATGTTATTTAATTTTTGTGGTGGTAAGGTTCAAACACAGAACCTCACACATGCTAGGTAATGCTTTTAACTGAGTTACATCCCCAGTTACCCCTTTTTATTTTAACAGTGGATTTTACCAATATGTTTGAGAAGCAGTCTAAGCCATATATTTTGGTATTCTTGTCCTGAATCAAAACTATCAGCTCAGAACTCAGTGTCCTATAAGTAAGTTTTCTTTTTAAAATATATATATTTTTTAGTTGTAAATGGACATAATACCTTTATTTAGTATTTTTTATGTGGTGCTGGGGATCAAACCCAGTACCTCACACATGCCAGGCAAGTGGTCTACCACTGAGCCACAACCCCAGCCCCTGTAAGTTTTTTTATATTTTTTCCCCAAGTATAAATTATTTGCCCAGAGTCAAGGTAATAATTGTTTTTCTACTTACTTAGAAGGTCTAAAAATAATGTTTATACAGTTTTTCCCCCCATTGACCCTTCTCTGTTGAGATTACCACTCTTATTCTGTTTTAAAATTGTAATTGATTATTTTTTATTTTTATTATATGTGTCTTATTATTCCCACCAATGTTTATTATGAAATTATACCTTAAAAACTTTTAAGCTAGGTGCAGTGGCACATATCTGTAATCCCAGTGGCTCAGGAAGCTGAGGCAAAAGGATTATAAATTCAAAGCCAGCCTCAACAAATTAGTGAGACCCTAAGCACCTTAGTTAACTCTGTCTTTAAATAAAATACAGAAAAGGGCTAGGAATATGGCTCAGTGGTTGAGTGCCTCTGAGTTCAATCCTTGGTACAAAAAAAAAAAAAAAAATTGAGAAATTCTTAACATGGTTCTTTAAATTTTTTAATAGAGATTTTAAAAAAATCTTGCCAAAAACTTTGTTATTTGATATTACTTTTATGTATTTGCTTAAGTATTTGTCACATATTCTGACTGATGCATTTTATTTTTAAGGTTTACTGCTAGACCACTAGTAGAAACTATATTTGAAAGGGGAATGGCTACATGCTTTGCTTACGGGCAGACTGGAAGTGGAAAAACTCATGTAAGTAATTCATTAAAATTTTATCGCAGCATGATACTATAGTTTCTTTTCCTTATAACTTAATTCTATAATCAAATTCTTAAGATATATTCCTGAATAATGTCTATTATTATTTATTTTCTTTTCAAAATAAAGACTATGGGTGGTGACTTTTCAGGAAAGAACCAAGATTGTTCTAAAGGAATTTATGCATTAGCAGGTAAGTGTCCTTTTCATATGTAATTTGTAACATTCTCCTTGGATATTATTCAAGTGGCTTTGAAAGAAAGTTTTAAAATAGCAACTTTAATACTATGCTTAATGGACATTATGCCAGTGGGTTGTCAGATCGAAAAGATCTATAAGATTAAACTTTTGGTGACAAAAATACCGATTACATTTTTGTTGGTATAATCTGGCACATTGTAGGAGATTAGTGTAAATTGTTGAATGGCTGCATTATAAAAAGCTTCTATTTGGTATGGTTATAAGAATGACCTTATTTTGACAACCTATATATAATTTTAGGTAATTTATAATAATAAGTAGTAGCATTGCCTTATAGAATGTGAAGGAGAGTCACTTCTGTTAAAAGTACTTTTTTGTCACATTAATATTTGCTTTAATTTTCGTTTTTAGTATTGATGCTATTATCATCCTAGGTAAAGATTATCTATCTGACTCCTTTACAGATAGAACATTTAAATTGCATTTTAAAAATATTTGCCACTTCTTAACAATTTTCTGTACATGAAATTCTTCACAGCTCGAGATGTCTTTTTAATGCTAAAGAAGCCAAACTATAAGAAACTAGAACTTCAAGTATATGCAACCTTTTTTGAAATTTATAGTGGAAAGGTATGTTGGAACTCTTTTTAAAATTTTTATGATTTTTGTTCAAAACACTGGAAAAACTGGGGATAATAGGAGCATATCTCAACATTGTAAAAGCTATCTATGCTAAGGCCCAGGCCAACATCATTCTAAATGGAGGAAAATTGAAAGCATTCCCTCTAAAAACTAGAACATGACAAGGATGCCCTCTTTTACCACTTCTACTTAACATAGTTCTTGAAACTCTTGTCAGAGGAATTAGACAAATGGTAGAAATTAAAGGGAATATGGATAGGAAAAGAAGAACTCAAAACTAGCATTGTTTGCTGACAACGTGATTCTATACATGGAAGACCCAAAAAATTACACCAGAAAATTTCTAGAACTAATAAATGAATTCAGCAAAAAGTAGCAGGATATAAAATCAACACCCATAAATCAAAGGCATTTCTTTCGGTACATCAGTGATGAATCCTCTGAAAGAGAAATTAGGAAAACTACCCCATTTACAATAGCCTCAAAAAAATAAAATACTTGGGAATCAACGAAAGAGGTGAAAGACCTCTACAATGAAAACTACAGATTGCTAAAGAAACTACAGACCTTAGAAGATGGAAAGATCTCCCTTGTTTTTGGATAGGCAGAATTAATATTGTAAAAATGACCATCCTACCAAAAGCACTATACAGTTTTAATGTAATTCCAAATCAAAATCCCAACGACACAGTGCCATTTCTCATAGAAATAGAAAAGGCAATCATGAAGTTCATCTGGAAAAATAAGAGACCCAGAATATCCAAAGCAGCCCTTAAAAGAAGAGTGAAGCAGGTGGCATCATTATACCAGACCTTAAAGTATACTACAGAGCATTAGTAACAAAAATAGCATAGTATTGGCACAAAAGTAGTCTTGTTAGACCAGTGGAACAGAATAGAGGACACAGAGACAAACTCACATAAATACAGTTATGTCATACTAGACAAAAGCTCCAAAAACATACATTGGAGAAAAGATAGCTTCTTCAACAAATGGTGCTGGGAAAATTAGAAATCCACATGCAGCAAAATGAAATTAAGCCCCTGTCTCACTATCCACAAAACTCAAAAGTGAATCAAAGATCTGGGAATTAAACCAGAGTCCCTGCACCATATAGAACAAAAAAGTGGGCCCAAACAATCAGTGAGGTGAATAGAGAGCCCATAGAATGGGAAAACATCTTTACTACACACACATTAGATAGAGCACTAATTTCCAGGATTTACAAAGAATTCGAAAACCTAATTGTCCAAAAAATAAATAATCCTATCAATAAATGGGCCAAGGAACTGAACAGACACTTCTCAGAAGATGATATACACTCAGTCAACAAATATATGAAGAAATGTTCATCTCTAGTAGTTAGAGAAATACAAATCAAAACTACTCTAGATTTCATCTCACTCCAGTCAGAATGGCAACTATCAAGAATACAAACAACAATAAGTGTTGATGAGGAAGTGGGAAAAAAGGCACACTCATATGTTGCTGGTGTTACTGCAAATTGGTGCATCGAATGTGGAAAACGGTATGGAGATTCCTTGAAAAACTTATTGGAATGTAATCACCATTTGACCCAGCTATCACTCCTGGTTTATACCCAAAGGACTTAAAAACAGCATACTATAGGGACACAGCCACATCAATGTTTATAACAGCACAATTCACAATAGCTAAATAGTGGAACCAACCTAGATGCCCTTCAGTAGATGAATGGATAAAGAAAATGTTGTGTGTGTGTGTGTGTGTGTGTGTGTGTATACCCACACACACATTGTGGAATATTACTCAGAATTAAAAGAGAAAAAAATCACGGCATTTACAGATAAATGGATGGAGTTGGAGAATATCATGCTAAGTGAAGTAAGCCAATCCCGAAAAAACAAATGTCGAATGTTTTCTCTGATTGTGGATGCGGATCCATAATAGGGATGGTGGGGAGCATGAGAGGAATGGAGGAACTTTAGATAGGGCAAAGGGGAGAGGAAGGGGAAGGGAGGGGGCATGGGCGTAGGAAAGGTGATGGAACAAGAAGGACATCATAACGCTAAGTACATGTATGAAGACACGAATGGTGTGACTATTTGTGAATAATCATAGACATGATAAATGGTGCTCTTTATGTATACCATGAATTGAAATGCATTCTGCTGTCATGTATAATAAATTAGAATAAATTCAAAAAACGTTTTAAAATTGAAATAACATTTTCAATTCAGTGTCACTGAGCACATTCATGTTGCTTTAGAGCTATTGTCACAAACTTTTTATATAGATTTTGAATGTTAGACTTTGTCTTGAGGTTTTTAAAATGTCATTGAATCCCTTAATATGTTGAGCTTTATTATTCTAATATAATTATTACTTTCCTCTCTAAAATAATTTTTAGGCTCTGAATGACCCATTGTTATAGAACTGCTTCTGTTTATTTTAAAGCTAGTTTTCTAAAATGGATGTGATTTTTCATAGGTATTTGACTTGCTAAATAGGAAAACAAAATTAAGAGTTCTAGAAGATGGAAAACAGCAAGTTCAAGTGGTGGGCCTACAGGAACGGGAGGTTAAATGTGTTGAAGATGTACTGAAACTCATTGATATAGGCAACAGTTGCAGGTAAATATATTAATTAAGAAAGGGAAACTTCAATTTTAGGTAATTGTTACACAAACACAAACTAAGGAGTTCTCCATTGCACCTTGGGAATAAAATTTCTTGTTCTTTGACATCTATTATATTGATATCATACTACAGTTAGGAAAAGCTAGGTAAAGTTGTAACAATCTGGTATCTCTTCTGTATTTAAATTGTAAAAACTGGCTAAATAGATTTTTGTTGTTGCTTTTTTAAAATGAAGATGTCGTATTCTGCTGCCTTTCCACATGAGTATATCAATATGTAAATCAATGGAAGTGTAACTGATGTGATTCTGCAAGCTGTATACGGGGTAAAATGGGAGTTCATAACCCACTTGAATCAAAATGTGAAATATGATATATCAAGAACTATGTAATGTTTTGAACAACCAACAATAAAAAGAAAATAAATAAAAAAAATAAAATGAAGATGTCATGTTAATATGTAAATTAAAATTTTAATGTATCAACATGTCCTTAATCACATTATAGAACATCTGGTCAAACATCTGCAAATGCACATTCATCTCGGAGCCATGCAGTGTTTCAGATTATACTTCGAAGAAAAGGAAAACTACATGGCAAGTTTTCTCTCATCGATTTGGCTGGAAATGAAAGAGGAGCTGATACTTCCAGTGCAGACAGGCAAACTAGGCTTGAAGGTGCTGAAATTAATAAAAGCCTTTTAGCACTCAAGGTAAATTAAATATATTTAATTATGAAATGTCTATTATCTGTTATTATTACTATTATTATTGTAGTTGTAGATGGACAGCAAGCAAGCCTTTATTTTGCTTGTTTATTTTCATGTGATGCTGAGGATAGAACCCCAGGCCTCACACATGCTAGGCAAGTTGTCTGCCACTGAGCTACAGCCCCCAGCCCTACTTTTTTAATTTTGTTTACTCAGTTGCCAAATAATAGTACTTACTTTTTCCAATAAAAACACATTTTCAAACTGGTGGGATAAAATGGTATATGGGTTGGCACACCAATTCAATTCTGAGGCTGCCCAGATAGATTCTAAAAAGCCTTCTTTATCAGATATATTTTCTTGGGTAGGGTAAGGAACCATACAATTGAACTAAGAAAAAACTTTCTCAGAAAAAAAAAAAGTGGAATGGTTTTCAGAAAGTCTGGCCAGGTATATATTATCTTTTCCTTCATTAGAAAAGCAAAGGTTAGAAAGATTTATAGTAAAATATTCTGTAGTTTTTTCTTATGTAATGCCACTTTGAAATTTTAACATTTTACAGTTATCCTGTTGCCTGCCACATTTAAACATTAGTCATTGTTTCCAGAAGTATTTTTTGAAAGGATAATAAAGTAGATTTTGTGAGTTTTTAAAAAAATTTTAGTTATCAATAGACCTTTACTTATTTATATGTGGTACTGAGAATTGAACCCAGTGCTTCATATATGCTAGGCAAGTGCTCTACCACTGAGCTACACCCCCAGAGTTTGTGAGTTCTTTTTTTTTTTGTTTGTTTGCTTGTTTTTGATCTTTTTCTTGAATTAGCGTTCATGGGAACACTTTTACAATGCTGTGACACTGTTAGAATTTTCAGAGCTCATCAGACCTTAAATGTTAGACTCATCATAAAAGACCTCTTAAAATATGTTACTTAATCACTCTTTTTTAAGAAAGTCTAATCTGTGAGTCTTGCTTTCTTAAATTTCAGGAGTGCATCAGAGCCTTAGGTAGAAACAAACCTCATACTCCTTTCCGAGCAAGTAAACTCACTCAGGTGTTAAGAGATTCATTCATAGGTGAAAACTCTCGTACCTGCATGGTAAGTTTATTTTTGTTATATTTCATTTTAATCCTAAAAGAATAACTATACAATATCTATGGAAAATTTTAATGTACATTAGTTACAATCATTTGAATCCTAGATACAGTTGATATTTAAGATGTGTCCCTGCCAGTCTGATAGAAAGCATTATGTTATTTCCAACATCTGAATTATCTCAATATATATCATGAATGTATAATTTGTTATTAGGTTTTGGTTATCCTGTGTGACAGCACCAGGGTTTATCCTCTGGCAAGATACTGTTAGAAGAAGTAGGAGGGAGTAGTCACTTGGTATTGTTCCCTGTGTTTGCCTTCATTTTCTGCTGGAGTTTGATCATTTCATGGTGTTTCAGAGAGCTGCTTATATTTTAATTGTATCATTATATGATTATGGGTATAAGATAGCAAGTAAAATTTTTAAATACCCACTTAAGATTAGACCTAAATGAGCTATTTTTTAGTATTATTGTCTGGATTATTTATGACATTTTATCTTCGCCTTTCCTCCCCCCACCCCCTGTAGATTGCCACGATATCTCCAGGAATGGCATCCTGTGAAAATACTCTTAATACATTAAGATATGCAAATAGGTATGAGATGGTTCTCTATTACGAAATTTGATCTAATTCTAAAATAGGCCAGTATATAATATCTTGTTGTAGGGCAGATTATAGTACATTGTTCTTAAAAATATTTTATAGATTTATTCTTTCATTATATTTTTTTGGTACTGAGGATTTATTTAAGCCAGGGGTACTTTACCACTGAATTATATCCCCATCCCTTTTTGTTTTTTTGCATAAGGCCTCACTAAGTTGCCAAAATTGGCTTTGAATTTGTGATCCTCCTGCCTCAGTCCCCCAAGTTGCTAGCATGACAGATGTGTGCTACTTTGCCTGACCACATTTATTATTTAAGGTGATAATATTTAGAATCAAATTTTCAATTTGTAAAAACGAGTTGACAAAATGTATCATAGGCTGTTAAAGCAGTTTATTCCTTGGAGTCATGAAAAGCCCTTGGACTTGAATGGGCATATTTATTCTATACCTCCCCTCTGCAACTCTTGTTTTGAATGAGTGATTACATAGTTTTAAATTTGTTAGCACCTATTACATTTATGATTTTAATGTAGAGATAAAATTCCTCTTTATGAACTATTTCTAATGTGAAGATTGTCTTAATTTTGCTTGACAAAAGTATTTTGTCAAGTGTGTTGTATAGTTAGAGAAGCAGCTGTTATCTTTAGTAAAAGTGACCTTTCTGTACTACAACATGTTTGTGTGTTTCTATTTCAAAGTTATATATTTTGTAATATTTTACTTTACTTAAATTATGCAAATTCTGCCTCTTGAGACTGAAAAATAAATGAAAGCTACAGGGCCAGTGTATATTTCTTTTAATTGTTTTGCTATAAGCTAAAAATTATTCCTGATATTAAATGTTATATATAAGGAATATAAAGTTTGAGTGACAAGTGATAGTCTTTCTGGTGTTCTGTATGAATTATATCTTGTTATTCATGTCAGTAATGTGTCCAACTTTAAACAACTGGGTCATTATCGATGGAAGAACAAAATGCATTATAGGCTGTTAAAGCAGTTTATTTCTTGGAGTCATGAAATGGCCTTGGACATGAATGGGGATATTTATTCTATATCTCCCCTCTGCTACTCTTGTTTTGAATGAGTGATTACATAGTTTTAAATTTGTTAGCACCTATTACATTTATGATTTTAATGTAGAGATAAAATTCCTCTTTATGACCTGTTTCTAATGTGAAGATTGTCTTAGTTTTGCTTGACAAAAGTATTTTGTTTCTTTGTTTTGGAGATGGGATCTTCCTATGTTACCCTTAAGTGGGCTCAAACTCAAGATTCTCCATTGTGCCCCAGCATTATTTTTCTCTTTCTCCTTCTCTCTAGTTTTTATTTTTTTGGTAATAGAGATTAAACCCAGGGGATGCTTTACCACTGAGCTATGTTCCCACCCAGCTTCCTTCCCGCTTTTTTTTTTTGATGGAGCCTAAGTTGACAAGGCTGGTCTCAAATTGTAGTCCTCCTGCTACAGTCTTCCCAGTCACTGGGATTATAGGCATACATAAATGCCTGGCTTGTTCTCTTTTAAAAATAGTTTTAAGCTGTGTGCAATGGCATAGATTTATAATCCCCAGTGAGGCAGCTGAGGCAAGAGGATTGCAATTATAAGGTCAACCTCAGCAATTTAGTGAGACCCTGCATCAAAAATAACAAATAAAAAGGGCTGGGTTTAATTCCCAGTACTGATAAATAAATTAAAAACAAATATATACATACATCCAAAGTTTTACAGCCTGTGAATATATCTTTAAGCAGCATAGGATCTATGTTTGGATCATGTACTTTGTTCTTTTACATTTTGTTTCAGCTGAAGAAATTTCAATTGGAAAGTATAAACCTATTAATCTTTTGTAAAAAGGTATTAAAATCTAATAGCTATGTTAAAAATGTAATAGAACTTTATTTCAAAATTTAATTCCTTTTATAGTTTGAATTTACTCCTAGCTGAAAACTTATGTGCAACTAAGTGATTTTTTTTGTAATTAATTTTTTAGCATGTAGGATTTTTATCATTAATTTAAAATGCTGCTTATTGAAAATTGTTCATGGACAGATGGGGAACAGCTTAGTGTGATAGATTCTTGCCATGATAATAGAATTAAAACAAAAAAATCTTCATGTCTTAAAACTTTAGACTGAAAAGGATTCCCCCTAATATGAAAATGATAAACATGTTCAATAACCCTTACCTGAAATGTTTTGAGATCAATAGTGTATTAGATTTTCGATTTCTTCAAATTTTGGAATATTTAGACACACATAAGGAGATATCTTAGGGTGGGATCCAAACATTAACAAAAACAACTTAAATTTCATAAGTATAGGCAGTTCTCAGAGTTCTTTATCTAAATCACCAACCACAAAAAAGTTGAATGACTGTTTTATCAATCATATGAATAATGTTTCATAGCTAATACCATTCTAGATGTATAATCAGAAGTTAATTTGTGAAAATGAGTGACTTAAAGAACTAGGGCTTAATTTTAATTCTTGTGTCCTGTTTGAAAAAGTCCACAAAAGCACTAGGAAGTCATTAATACTAATAAATATTCATGCAATTGACAACATATAAGAAAGAGTGGTCTTGTAGTTTAAATAGATGGTATTTCAGGATTTAGGTAGTGTCCTGGAGCTGGGAATGTAGCTCAGAGATAAAAGAGTATTTGCCTGGCATGCAAAAGGCCCTGGGTTCAATCCCCAGTACCTTCCTCACTCCCATCCCATCCCCCCCAAATTTGGTACTTTGTGGTTAAATTTCAAGTATTATTAGAAAAGTAAAAGAAGGATTTTAGTTAGGTCTTTTGAGTAAGGGATCAGTGGGATTAAGAAGTTAAAACCTCTTAAAACTGATTATTTGTCAAATAAAAGTCTAAATACATTGTTACAGCAGTGTTGATAATCTTTTCTAAACAAACTGAATTCAAATGAAAACTTGAAATGTGCATTGCTGTTTTTACAAAAATATTTTCTTTTAATTTGTTGCTGTTTTGGTGCTACAGAGTAAAGGAGTTTGGAATTAGTCCATCAGACATTCCCTTCTCACAGGGTAGTGGCAGTCGCCCTGATCTCTCTCCTTCTTATGAGTATGACGACTTTTCTCCTTCGATTACCAGGTCTACTTCATTCTATACATAAGATGTTTATTTTAATAGTTTTTAAATTTTTTTTTCTATATATAAACATTTCATTTACTTCTTTTGTCCTGAGCCATATTATTTTTTATTTTCATTTCATTTGGCAGGTGCTGGTTGTACTGCATGATCTGCATTTTTATTTTATTAATTTATTTGCTTTGAAATTTTGGTTTAGAATTCAAGCTTCCTATTTCCCCTCATTTTTAAAAGGATGATGTCACTTTTGCATACTTACCACTAAAAGATAGATTTGTCTTGCTTGCAGTGAAGAGTTTACCTGTATTGTGTATGACCTTATAAATTTCCTTGTCTGCAAGGAAATGACAAGGTTCCTATTAGAAAGTATACCCTTTCTCAGATGTGAGGAGCAAACATTTTTTAAAATGATACAAATCCTATAATCTTTATACCTTGGAAATAAAATTATTTCATATTTAGCTATTTTAATTCAAGCATTTCCACTATCAGAAATCTGCAAAGTGTATCAAATTCTCTGATATCAGCAATGACCTATTTATAAAACTTAATGCTTTTGTAAAGATTTTTCTGCTCATATAATGTAATTGCAACAGTGTGTTTCTTTGAAATACTGAATCTGCATACTTTGAATTTCCACTTTTGTGCACATTTATTCTTGAAGTAATTGTAAAGTTGCTTATGTGAACTACTAGAATTAAACAACCAAACATCCTCTTAAGAGTTTCCAAAGAGTTCAGATAAATTTGAGCTATAAAGGTGACATCATCAGTCTTAATGTGTTATTTGAATTGCCTTTAATTGAATAGGTTGGTATTTTCTTGCTCCTATGCATGAGTCTTTGTTAATTTTAGATACCTCTTCTCTATCTATAGGGTGAAAGAACTGACTGTTGATCCAACTGCGGCTGGTGATGTCCGTCCAATAATGCACCATCCACCAAACCAAATTGATGACTTAGAGACACAGTGGGGTGTGGGAAGTTCCCCTCAGAGAGATGATCTAAAACTTCTTTGTGAACAAAATGTGAGTGAGATAATATAGTTGTAATTGATGCAATTTTAGTTCATTTCATTAATAGCTCAATTTTATCTACGTCGGGGGTCAGCAAACTATACTCTGTTTTTACAAGTAATGTTTTATTAGAACATAGTAATGCTTACTCATTTATGGATTGCCTGGCTGCTTTCTTACATAACAGTACCAAAGACTGTATTGCTCACAAATCTAAAACATCTACTATCTGGTTTGCGAAACCTCTGATCTAATCTATTACCCCTCACCCCCATATTTTATACCAGTGTTAAAATTTTAGTAATATAGGGTAGAAACAAATTTAAGAATTATACATTCACTAAGTACCTCATTATAAAGCTTAAAAACAAAATAAAGAAACTGTGGACAAAGGCATGACCTTCATTAAAAATCAAACATGGCAAAATGCCATCATCCATTAAACCAGGCTGCTTTTCTATATGTTTGAAATGTTTAATGATATTTCATAATTTAAAATTCTGTTTTTCCAGCTGGGCACAGTGACACATCTTAAACTCCAGCAACTTGAGAGACAGAGGTAGGAGGATTGAAAGTAAAGGCCAGCCTGGGCAACTTAAAAAACCTCTGTCTTGAAATAAAATCCAGAAAGGGTTGGGGATGTAGCTCAGTGGTATTGTGCTTGCCCAGCATGCACAAGACCTTGGGTACCATACCCCTGTACTCTTTTTTTAATGTTCTAATTATTGAAAATAATAAGATGTATGCCCAGTCTATAAGGATAGAAGGGCATAAATAAGCAAGAAAACACAAATAATAACTTGCTTCCACGTAATTGTTTTTAACATATTGAGAGGATTACATTCTGTGTGTGGAATACAAGTGTTATTTATGTAGTTATTTAATTTCATTTTAACATGTATATTTTAAATGGTTTTATGTCACTGTTTTTCCCACTAAAATCCTATTGTGGCATTTTCTCATAATGTTAAAAGGTGGCATTTACTAATTGCTTACTACATGACATGCATTTGCTAAACATTTTGCTTGTTACCTAATTTAATCCTCACAAATCAATGTGGTAGGTGTTGTAATTATCCCTACTTCATAGTTGATTTTCTAAGAGGCGTAACAACTTGACCAAGATTATAAGTGAGGAGGCCAGAGTTGAAACCTACATCTTTCTTTTGACACAGTCCAGTTTATGTCAGTTAAGCATATTTCCATCAACAGTATTCTTTGAAAAGAACAGAATTAGTGGTTCTGTTGTAATACTTTCTGACAGATGTTAAATCCAAAATATTCTAGAGTAACAAATGGACATAACTGCTTTTGATTACCACATTCCATACTACTTTTTTGTTTTCACATTCCACATCCTTCTGTTACTAAATCAAGGCTGTAAGCAGCTGTCCTCAACCAGAGGTGATTTGGCCGAACCAAGACAAAATATATGAAGATGTTTTTGGTTGTCACAGCTGAGGATATTGTTAGCATCTAGTAGGTAGAAGCTATGATGCTTTTAAACACGTAGTGCATGGGATAGCCACTCTTCACTCTACCCCTCAAAAATGTCAGTAGTTCAAAGGTTGAGAAAACTAGTTTTAAATTAAGAGTTCTAAATTTTGAAACATAAAAACAGCTAAAAATTAGATCCTGGCTTCATTCCCTGCCCTGTCTACATAAGTTTTAAAAGACACTATACATGTTCTTGGAGCCCTCAAATCAGTTCCTTTATTGTAATAGCTATGGTACCTCCCAAAAATTCAGATTTTGAAATGATTTCTGGATACTTATTGGTTTTATGTCATTGAAAAGTTTTAAAAACCATAACCTGAACCATCCTTAAGTCAGGAATTGTCTGTATATGAGTTAATTCATATACAGAAAAGAAAACAGTAGTAAAGAAATATTTGAATATATTTACAAAGATTCTGAAAACCAGAGTTAAGAGGCATTCTTCTCTTCTGTTTGCATTTTATTCTCATATCTAATGAGACTAAGACTTAACAGTTAACAAGGTAGATTAGTGGAATAGCATCTAAGATAAGCCCTAGAGATAAAAATAATATAGGTATACACTTATAATTAAGTTCTTTAGTATTCCAAGAGTAGAAGAAAATTGTATAGACAAAAAAGTGTTTGGATCAGGGCTGGGGATATAACTCAGTTGGTAGAGTGCTTGCCTCTCATGCATAAGGCCCTGGATTCAATCACCAAGAAAAAAATAAGTAAAGGTTTCTTGGGAAAGAAACTTCAGAAAGAAACCTTTCAAATTGATCTAAAACCAACATAATGCATATGTTGTATGTCTGTGTGTATGTATAGTTATTGTTGATGAAGTAAAACTATACCATCAATTTAAATTTCTATAATAACTGCCAGGAATGGTGGTACATGTCTATAGGCCCAGGTACTTAGGAGGGTGAGGCAGGAGGATCACTTGAGTCCAGGAATTTGTGGATAATCTTGAGTAACATAGTGAGATCCCATGTCATCCAAAAAAATGAAAGGAGGAGGAAGAATAACTGGTAACAAATCATATAGTATAATTTGAAAATTAATTTTTTTAAGAGTTTAGTACTTTAGAGTATTAATTTGATCAAAGATATTATCTTTACGTAATCCAAAGATGGTGTTTTTAGTCCCCCTCCCGCTTTGCTACAGGGGATTAAAAGCAGGGCCTGTCCATACTAGATAATCTCACTACTACTGAGATTTATCTCCAGCCCTTTTCTTTTTTCTTTTGAAACAGGTTCTCCCTAAAATGCCCAGGCTGACCTCAGTCTAATCATCCTTTTGCCTCAGCATTCTGAGTAGCTGGGATTACAGGCATGTGCCACCATGCCTGGCTCATCTCTTTTAAGAAAAGAAACTTAAGACATGTACAGGTAGTCCTTGACTCAACAATGGGGTTACATCCTGATATTACAAGTTGAAAATGCATTTACCACACCTAACATGGTGAACATATTAATAGAAAAGATCAAAATTCAGATTTTGAAATGATTTCTGGATACTTATTGGTTTTATGTCATTGAAAAGTTTTAAAAACCATAACCTGAACCATCCTTAAGTCAGGAATTGTCTGTATATGAGTTAATTCATATACAGAAAAGAAAACAGTAGTAAAGAAATATTTGAATATATTTACAATTTGCAAAAGATTTATATTTGAAAAGCTGACTGTTCCTAAAGAGTGCTTTTTTGGGGGGTAATTCTGCAGTAAACCCTGGCATCAAGGAAAATTATTACCTATTCATAAAAAAGTTTGGATTGCTTTACTGAGAGTTATGTATATTATTTTGACCCACAGAAAGAAATTGTGACTTTTACTTTTATGTATATTTGAGTAGTCATCTCCGTTCAATCTTCCTCAAATTCTAAATGTTATTGTAAAGTGTCATTAAAAAGCTACTTTTAGGGGTTGGGCAGTAGGGTGAGTGCATAGCATGTAAGGTCCTAGGTTGAGAACTTGGCATCAAAAAAAAAAAAAAAAGAAGAAGAAAAACACAAAAAAAAGACTACTTTTCTAGCATTTAAAAATAGAACATTTATGTCATAATTTTTAAACTTTGTATTTTAAGGAAGAAGAGGTTTCTCCACAATTGTTTACTTTCCATGAAGCTGTCTCACAAATGGTAGAAATGGAAGAACAGGTTGTAGAAGATCACAGGGCAGTGTTCCAGGTAAAGAGAGAATCTTTCTTTCATCAAAGTATTTTGAGATATATTAACCAAAAACTTTCATCATTCTTGGAATAACATTCCTTAAGAAAGAATACTTGTTTATATGTATATTTGTAGGGCATATGACATGACAATTTTTTCCCCATAGTAGTTTTTTAATACAACAAACAGTGATTCTAAACATCCATCTGAGGGCTGGGGATATAGTTCAATTGGTAGAATGCTTGCCCTGCATGCACAAGGATCTGGATTCAATCCCTAACACCACACACCCACACATCCACACACACATTCATTGCACAATGGTGAAAAGATCTATTTTTTTTTAAAGCACCTTCTTGCCTTTTCTTTTTGTTAATTGTCCATTTTGGGGAGAAGAGTTCAACTTCTGCCTACTAATATTCCTTTCTTTGTTAGGCCAGTTTATTTGGCAGCATAAGAAAAACCCTTTAAAGGTTAGGGAAGCTGGACACAGTGGCATGTGCTTGTAGTCCCAGATATTTGGCAAGCTGGGGAGGAAAATTTTATTTTTAAGGCAACATAGTGAGACCCTACCTTAAAAAAATTAAAAAATAATTAGCAGAAAAGAAAAGTTTGTACTTTTAGGAGATGGAAGTAATGCTTAGAGTACTTAAAGTACTTTAACTGTATAACTCTCCTAGTTATTGTGGAGAGTGTGTGTTGTTTTTTTGGGGGCGGGTGGGGGTTGGTGGTACTGGGGAATTTATTTATTACTTATTTTGAAACAGGTTCTTGCCTAGTTGCTGAGGTTGATGTTGAATTTGCAAATATCCTGTTCCGAGTCACTGGGATTACAGACATTTGCCACCACATCCTCCTTGTTTTTGTACTTTTGAGATGGGGTCTTGCCACGTTGCTCAGGCTATCTTTGAACTCCTGGGGTCAAGCTATCATCTTGCCCTCACCTCCTGAGTTAACTGTGGGACTACAAATGTGCATCAGTGCTTGCCTAGCATGCATGAGGCATGGGTTTGATTCTTAGCACCACATAAAAATAAGGTGATCACTTAAAAAAAAAAAATGTGCATCACCAAACCTGGTTTCCGATTTTTAACAGGAAAATATCCTGGGTGATAGTATTTATGAGGAAGTGAAGATATCATTTAGACATCCTTATGAAGTTTACTATTGACTTGTTTTTTTTACTCTCCCTCCACTTCTTTTTTTTAAAACATTTATTTTTTTAGTTGTAGGTGGACACAATACCTTTATTTTATTTTTATGTAGTGCTGAGGATAGAACCCAGTGCCTCACATGTACTAATAAGCAAGCGCTCTTCTTCTGAGCCACAACCCCAGCCCCCTCCCACTTATTATAGTACTTTATTTCCCGAGAAAAAAGTGAACAATAACTCATTCTTCTTATTGATCTGTTGCTTTTCATATATTGAGGAAATCTATAAAATTCCTTAGTTCCAGGTCATTCAGGCACCTGGATGAGGGCTCAAAAATGAAAGAGTTGATTTCAAGTTAGGATGCAAATTCATTAAAACTGTTAGGGTTCTAGTGAAGCTCTTATTACAAGAATCTCTTACTACCCAGGCACGGTCGTGCATACCTATAATCTTAGCTGTTTGGGAGGCTGAGGCCTGAGGAATACAAGTTCAAAGAAAGCTTTAGCAATTTAGCAAGGCCCTAAGCAACTTAGCAAGACCCTGTCTCAAAATATGAAATAAAAAGGGCTGGGGATGTGGCTCAGTGGTTGAGTACCTCTAGATTGACTCCCTGGTACCAAACAAAACAAAAAAAAGAAAAAAAGTCTGCTTATAGGCATAGAGGTTTGGATTAAGTCGAGAATAAGACACTAGTAATTTAAGAAAATTGTTGTTTCTGCCCTTTTGGAACAAGATCATATTAAGACCACCTTTTCTCTGCCATTTTTGTAGATGAAGTCTCACATTTGTTATCAACACTTAGAGTTCTGGCTTTCCAGTTTTATTTTCACTTCCATATATTAGTGCTTACATACTGTCAACTGTCCTTTCTGAAAATAGGGTTTTGTTAAATAAAAATTAAGTGTATCAATGAAGGAAAAGAAAAACAAATAATTTGTATTTTTAAATGATACTTTTTAAAAATTAATACCTATATGAAAGGTATCTATAGAAATTTTTAAATTCTGATGAAGTAGTCTAATTGTAATTAGCCATTAAAGTGAATTGATAACTTGCAAAATTGAGACTTGTACACATTCTTAAAAATTAGTACCTTTTATAAGAGCATATACATAGTAGTTGGGTTCATTTTGACAAAATCATATGTACATAGAATTTGATTTCAATCCCTGTTCCATTTTCTCTCCCCCTCCCTTCCCATTCTCCTTCTGCTACACTACTGATCTTCCTTTTGCTCATTTATTTATTTTTGGTTGGTATGGAAAGCACCTATTTTTATACCCCAAACTCCAATTTAGTACCATCTGACCATCTGTATGACTTCTGACATTCTAGAAAATAAAAACTCATGGGTTTCATACACAAAGATTATCAAGTTCCTAGAAGCATTTATTAATAGTAAGTAGCTACCATTGAGGGCTTTTTTGACTTTTCTAAATTGGCTATGCACTGGTTCCTCATGGTTTTGAATAAGAGTTATTTTGAAATTTTTTTGAACAATGATTTTGAAGAACCAGTGTTTAGTATTTAGGGTTATGTTTTGGCCCAACCTCAGAGTCCATTTTAAAACCACAGGTATTCAACCATAGGGGCTCCACCTTGATGGCTTTAATCCTCACCACCATAGTTTAGATGTGTTCACCCTCTTAATTCACAATGGAGTTTAAATTCCAAAATGTTTCAGAGGGGACAAACCATATTCAAACCATAACAGGTTCCAACTGGATAAATTAATTCCAGATGACTTAAGTTATAGGCCTTCCAAAGCCCTCATCAAATTGTTTAGTGGCCTTATTATGCCAATTCTTCCCTTGTTTCAGGAACAGCTGTTAAGTTTTTAAAATTTACTTTGACCACTGATGTTAATGTGTTTGATGAATTCTTTCTCCAAAAATCCACTCTAGGTAGAATAAAAAAGTCAAGAAATGAAGTAATGTTATTTGGCCAATCATGTATGTGTTTGTGTTTGAACTTAAGAAAATATTTCTTAATTTTACTGTGAGTAGAGATGTTTTATCTGTTAGTTTTACAAGATACCATCTTAAATATGTTTGTAATTAACAGAATTTGTAAATTGATATCTGTTTTATAAAAAGGCTTAAAATTATAATTTTTTCTTTTTAGGAATCTATTCGATGGTTAGAAGATGAAAAGGCTCTCCTAGAGATGACTGAAGAAGTAGACTATGATGTAGATTCATATGCTACACAACTTGAAGCGATACTTGAGCAAAAAATAGACATTTTAACTGAGCTGCGGGGTAATTCTTTTTTTTCATTTTATTGTTTGGTATGAAATCTTTTTGGTATTGGGGTGTACATATTACCAGTTGTAGGATTTCCTATTGCAATATGACAATATTGAAGTGTGAATTATGAGTACCATTTTATACCTTCTTTCCAGAGGTATAAAGATGAACTAACTAGTCTGTTTTTTCCTAAATAAAACATGAAGTGTCGTGTCATTTCAAGTTCTTCCTAGTCATTTTTTTAGTCCATTGAAAATTAAAGGCATCTTATGATTAATTTGCAAGTTAGATACTTAGTTAGTAGGCCAGTGCTTGTCAGAATTATTATTCTTATATTAGATCTGTTCAAGGTCATCATTGAATAATGTCTATCTTCATCTTTCTGTGCCAAAAATAAACAAAGGTAAAGTTATTGAGATGACTACCCTTTTCACCTTACTTATGAAGGGAAGTATGTGGCTCATCTATATACCATATCTTTTTGACTTTTTAAAATAGCTTATCTATTATATTACTTCAATTATGTACTTGTGATTGTGCTAATCTGGCTCTTGCTTAATGCAGGATAGAATGTTTGCTGTGTGTATGTAGAGTTTTTAGCAGCAAATAGGGTGCTTAATTTTTATAAGTGGGCCCTTCAAGAAGTTGGTTATTATAGAAAAAGGCTCATTTCCAGGAATTTGTGATGAAACATAATAGAGGGCTGGGGTTGTAACTCAGTGGTAGAGTACTTGCCTAGCACATGTGAGGCACTGGGTTCAATTCTCAGCACCACATATAAGTAAATCAGTTAATAAAGGTCCATCATCAACAACAACAACAAAAAAAAGTTGAGCATTATATTTAGTTCTGAAGGAACAGAAGGGAAAATAGTGATTTAATGTTATGAAATGAGCGCTAATCTTGATAGGATTCATATAGTTGTATACTGTTTTTGCATGCAATACTTATTCCTTTGTTCTTTCTTTTTCCAAGATAAAGTGAAATCTTTCCGAGCAGCTCTACAAGAAGAAGAACAAGCCAGCAAGCAAATTAACCCCAAGAGACCCCGTGCCCTTTAAATTGGTATTCGCTGCTGAAGGATCCCTAGAACCCTCACTACTTACTGTAACATAAAATGGTTCAGCTGTAAGGGCCATTCGAAAGTTTGAAATTTTAAGTGTCTGTGGAAAATGTCTTGTCCTTCACCCGAATGACATTTCAATTTTGTGAAACACTCAAAAGTCTACAAAATGCTTCTAGTCCAGGAGGTACAACGAAGAGTTGGAATTAGTGAAGCATTTTGTTTCATTTACCCAAATAGCAATTTACTTTTGGAGATCCTTGCCAATTTTATTTTCTATGTGATGAAGTAAGATTGTGGACTTGATCCAGAGGTGAATTGTAGGGAGAAGCCACAGCATTTCCTGTTAACTCAGTTCAATTTTCATAGCGAGATTGAGCAGTTTTAAATCCTTTGCGTGCATGCATACCTCATCAGTGATTGTACATACCTTGCCTACTTTTAGAGAGCTGTGCTCACCTATTCCTGCTCTGTGCCTTGATTAAGGCTATCGACCCTAAATTTCTTAAGCACAGCCATGATAAATTACATTCCTTATTTGTCATTGTAAATTACCTTTATTGTGTGTACATTTCTACTGTGTTTGAGACATTTTTTTGTGTGACTAGTTAATTTTGCAGGATGTGCCATATCATTGAACGGAACTAAAGTCTGTGACAGTGGACATAGCTGCTGGACCATTCCATCCTATATGTAAAGAAATCTGGAATTATGACTTTAAAACCATAACGTGATTTTAATTTTCTTAGCATTTTCTTTGTAAAAAAAAACAAACTAAAATATAAACTAGTTGGTGTATAATAAAAAGTAATGAAATTCTGAGAAGAGTTTTATCTTAGGATGATAAATATATATGCAGTGTGTGTGCCAGTGTGGTATTAACAAGAGTAATAGTGCAATTTGATCATTTCCAGTCCCATTTCTTAAGTTGAAGTGTTCATTAGCACCCCAAAATATGCCTTTAAATGTACTGTTAAAGGAAATTGGCTTCTGATGCATGAACGGTTATACGTACATTGAAAGTAGTTCATAATAGTAGTTAGTTTAAGCCAAGTGTAGACAGTAACTCCCTTGAAAAATAATTAAGCTGAGAGAGTTGACATTGCCTTAAAAGGCAGATCTAACCGAAGTTCCAACCTGTACTTAATATGTGATGTTTCACCATTATTTGGTAGGAATAGTGAAATTCTCACCAACAGCTTGGTGGTAAGGTATGCTACTCTTTAAATGGCAGCAGTTATTTTTGCAGATTGGTACTCTAAGAAAGAAAACTGGCCTTTTTTTCCATGTAAATAATTTGTCAGAAATTTCTCTCTCGGAGTTTTCCCTGTGTTCCCAGGATAGAGTCCAGGAGTAGATGAATAACAAAATCTATGAAGGACATCTTATTGTGATTTACTCTAGGGAACAAGTAGCTCATCCATGAGCCAAAGGGAAGCTATGACAGAGAGTCATGAGCCAGATTCTCTACTTCACTGTCTATAATACTCTGAGGGTAGCTGTGAGAAATTCTAATACCATGGTGAAAAGCTCTGTAAACATGAAATCTAAAACAAATGTAGATTTTTCATAATATGCCTATTAATAAATGAAATCTATGGTATGAGTTTAGAGATAATTTACTTCAATACAATGACCTTTGTTTTGGAAGGAACTCAGGTTTTCTTGCATTTGTTAAGATGTATTCTATTTCTGTTTATTTCAAAGAAGAATGGAGAAGTGGTAACTGTTGACACTGCAGGGACTAAATAAAAAAGGCAGTTTTTGGGACTAATCTACAAAGGGCAATGAAGACATAAGGTTGACCAGTGTAAGCAAAACAGATTAGCTTTGATATTATTTGCATTGGATGGATACCATTCTTTGGAGGGTCTTTTTAGAGATAATTCTGCTGCCTTATACTATGATAGCTTCATTCTCGGTGGTAGTCAAGGTTTCTCAAAAATTTAGTACCAGCAAAGAACTTGGGAGGTGAGAACTGAAAAACAGAAAAGGGATTAAAACTAAGCAGTTTATAAGGCTAGAGGGAAACAACCTAAGAAAGCTGAATTCAATCTTAGGACAAAAGTGAACTTTGGAAAGTAAATGGTTTGTGAGATTAAAAAAAAAAAAAATCTACCCTTAAGTAGATTTTTAATATTCATGTAGTAAAACTGGATTGTATAACTAAGTAACTTCATTTTTTTGTTCTGAATTTAACACTTTTTAGTATTTTCTCAGACTTGAAAGCTGATATATAAATATTATTTTAACTAGTAACATTTACTATATGACTTTGAAGCCAGACTTAAATATCTTCCCTTCTAGGTTTACTCAGTGTACCTTTGCAAATTAATTGGAATCACTCCTATTAAGTTTTAGTTATACAAAAAGCAAAATATCAATGAAGGTATTTTTATTAATTTCTTAATTCATTAAAATATATTTAACACTATATTGATTTGAACTGAGTAGCTAATAAAACTTGTATATGACTCTACTGGAATTCTCAATTTGATAATTTTTACATAGCTTAAAAGTAAATACCAGGTATATGAAAAAAAGTACTAAAACTTTTCATTATATAGATTCATTAATGCCAGGAACCTGTAGTTGTGGGGGAAAAAAACTTTTTTTTTTAATGGCGTTAACAGCACATATTTTAAAACCTATTTTTGAATTATAAAACTCTATGATTATCTCTCCAAGAAAAATGATATAATTTTATAGTTAATTTCATTCTAGCTGAGCTTCCTCGTTTTATAGATAAGGAGTCAAACTCAGAACATGCCTGGCATTGTATGATAGCAACAGACTGAGTCTTACCCACAACCACCATGTAGCCTATGCTGCAACACTATGGCTGAAGAGGTAGGCGACAATAGAAGAAATTGTGTAAATAGGTAAAAGAAAGAAGCAAATAACATTTTAAGAAACAACTATTTTATTGTACATGTGAATAAGAAATGGATAGGTAATATGTGACTAATTGAACACACTTATGAGGAACAGTGCTGATGGCCTAAAAAGGTCTTTACAGTATGGACATGGTAAAGAGATGTACGATAAACTGCTAGAAATGGTAAGTTTAAGGTTGTGCGTATCTGCGGCTCTTGAACTTGAAGATACTGTGTATAGATTGAACCCTGCCACGTGTATTACATTCAAAACAAATAAGACTTGTTACTGCCTTAAAAATAAAAAATAACAGTACAAAAATAGTCAAGCAAATAATGTTCCAGTTGAGCAAAAGCAGAATTTGTCTTCTCAAATATTAGAAATCTAGAATTAATTTTTCTTGACCTTGACAAAATTATTTTCCAAATAGCTAGGAAAAATGGATACCTTCTGCATTGAATCCATGTAGCAATCTAAAAAACAAAATGCAATGATATTAAAAAGCTAATTTGTGACACTGATAATGTATAGATTTGTACCATAACTAATAATACATGCACACATCAGCTTACTTAATGCAACTATCCAACTCCTAACATTAGTCATTATAAAGAAAACTTATTCTCCAGCTGAATTTATAACTTGGATTAAAACCATGTCATGTTGGTACTTCTTTTTTGTTATAACAAACATGTTTTAAATTATATTGAACCTGACTGAAATTATTTTACATTTTTGCTGTCTGAAGCGTAAGAGCTCATTGACATTTGTTCTGTTTCAGCTTAATTAACTGAACAAGAAGCTGTTTGCAATTTAAGGCAGAAGTCAGATGAATCACCAGTCTTCATATTCTTCTGAGCTAAGGTTCAAAGTAAAAACTTTTAAACATTGTTTCTCTCTGTGGATACCTGTGTACTTAGCTGACCTTTTTAGGAGTCGGGGTGGGCAGGGTTTACTAGGGATTGAATTTAGTGACACTCAACCACTGAGCCACATCCCCAACCCTATTTTGTATTTTATTCAGAGACAGGGTCTACATCCCCAACCCTATTTGTATTTATTTAGAGACAGGGTCTCACTGAGTTGCTTAGTGCCTCGCTTCTTCTGAGGCTGGCTTTGAACTCACAATCCTCCTGCCTCAGCCTCCTACGCTGCTGGGATCAAGGCGTGCGCCACTGCACCCAACAACTGACTTTAGTTATTAGCAAACTGCACCCTAAAGAAATTTAGTGAGAATGAAGCAAACAAGATAAACTATTTCCAGGCTTGTCCATAATGATGAATGAATTAAAATGTACAAAAAGCAAAGTAGTGTTCAACTCTTAGAATTACCATCTATTAAATGTGTTGACATGTTTTCAGCATAGAAGTCAAAACAATGATTTATAACAATCTACGATAATTTTCTAAAAAATTCATCCTCTATCTAAATCATTGATGCTTTAAAAGTAAACTGGCTAAATAGCTAAAAAGTTCTGAAAGTTAGTGTTAATAAGTATCTAGGTGATTAATTGAAGCCTTATTTTCATGGAACTTAACTGCTTTAGTTTAAAGAAAAGCAAATTTTGGTCTGAATTGCCCAGGTAATTTGACACCCTTTTACTAAAGATATATAGAACTTCCTTCAGACTACAAAACAACTAATACTAAAAGGATAAATAGGTTATAACTTACATTTCATGCTTGATAAGATATATTTAATGATAGCGATTCCCAATAAAGAATCATGCAGTTACATGTGTTATGATTTTTCAACCTTATGGGCTTTGAGAGACTATGAATGGGAGTTGGCAGTAGGAAGGCAGGGCAGGAGGGAAGGAACACACACTACAACACACATTAACAATCTTCCGGCTGGGACTGTTCTTCAAAAAAATAAAAATTAAAAAAAAGTTCATTCTGCTGCAGCTAACTAGCCTCCATCTTATACCAAATACTATTCCATACCATGGAAGTGCTATGCAATAACTCTCCCAGGTAGCACCTTATACCACTTAAAAGCCTTTAAATCTCTTAATCTAAAAGTACCACAGTAAAACGTAAACACAGGCAAAAAACCCTGTAATTACCTGATAAAGTCATCTATGTCCATGGAACGGGCCCGTTTGTCACTAAAACCTGTGCTGGTTAGGATTTGCTGTATTTTATCTGCTATGCTGAAATCTTCTGGTATTACCTATCAATATAAGATTCAGAATAAATGAACATATCTTTAATGAAGTTCCCTTGGCTCTTTTTTTGCCTAATCCAGTAAGTCTTAAATAGTCCGTTTTAATACATCTTTTGATGACAGCATGGAAAACCTGACGGTTTGGATAAGACTGAGATCTCTAATTAGTTAAGTGGCTCATTTTTTACCACTTTAACACAGAATATCTTGAATGGGTATCATGTATATTGCCCGATTTCATCATTAAAATTCTGAAATAGTCACTAATTTTAGACTTCATAAAGCTAGAAATTTTATTTAAAGCAGCTGTTACTCCTTTCAAAATTCTCACATTTTATTGCCACAATTTCACTTAACCAGTTAATTTTTCTGAGATGACCTGTCTGTCTCTGATCATTTAGAATATTAAGTGTTTCATATTTGATTCACATCTTCTACTCAAAAGATTGTTCTTAATCCAGCTTAACAGTTTACTTAAGCCGATGTTTCATGACCTACCCATAACATAGGATGGAAACAGTATTTGTGGTGCATTAAACCATACAGGATCTGAGCCATAAAAAGCAAACATCTTCATGTGAATATGTGCATGAATATACTGCATACTTTAAGTCAGGAAAGGGAGTGGGGGCTGCCTCCACGTGAAGGGGGCAGCCCTTACTCTTGTTTAAAAAAATTTATGAATGCGTTAAGTGGTATGAAATTCACAACAAAGAAGTCTGCTATGTAGCCTATACTGTATTTAATTACTTCAATTTCTAGGTATTAAAAATATTTACAAAGGGACTGGAGTTGGGGTTAAGCAGTAGAGTGCTCACCTAGTGCGTGAGGCCCTGGGTTCGAGCCTCAGCATCATGTAAAAAATAAAGGTATTGTATCCAACTACAACTAAAGAAATAAAATATTTTTTTTTTAAAAAGTTTATAAAAAAATAGCAACAAAGAAAACTAACTTTAAATTTGTAATTGCATACCAGTAATCCCAGGGGCTCAGAAGAATTACAGTTGCAAGGCCAACCTCAGGGATTAAGTGAGGCGGTAAATAGCTTGGCAAGACCCTGTCTCAAAAAATTAAAAAGAGTAGGGATATGGCTCAGTGGTCAAGCATCCCTGGGTTCAATCCCCAGTACCAAAATAAATTAATTTATGACTGCTACATGAGCACCAAATGGGATGATCACAATTCAGAGGATGGCAAATTGTACACAATTATTTTAAAATAAGAAAGTTATACATTTATAGCATTGAAAAAATACTTGGCTAAATCTGATATTTTTTTTTTGTGTGTGTGTGGCGGGGATACTTGGTATTGGACCCAGGGATACTTCTGAGTCACATCCCCAGCCCTTTTTTGTATTTTATTTAGACACAGTCTCACTGAGTTGCTTAGGGCCTCACTAACTTGCTGAAGCTGGCTTTGAATTCGAAATCCTCCTGCCTCAGCCTCCCGAGCTGTTGGGATTACAGGTGTGTGCCACTGTGCCCAGCTAAATATAATCCTTTTTTTTTTTTTTTTAAAAAAGATATTAGTAGTTACGACAGGGTGGAGTAGTCGAGATTGCTCAAGATCTATTGCAGCATCTTGAGCAATCTCGACTACTCTACCCTGTCATAATACCAGTCAGTATTCAAGTCAAAATTAAACTAGTTATACATCATACACTGTCTTTTAAGGATCACTGATATGTACAAAATTAATCTCATGATAATAAAAAAATAGATGGATATTTTGTAACAAATAATTGAAACAACTTATACTTACAATATTATGGAGTGAACAGTGAATTCTGTAGTTTTTTTCTAACAGCTGTTGTACTGCACTTGATCTATAACGTAAACAAGTGATATAAATATTACTTCCAAACCAGAGATTTTGTACATAATTTCTGTTCAATAAAATTAAATCTATGTTCCACTTGCTAAAATTAAGGAATTTAAATAAAAAAGTGTTGAATACTTAAACTTTTATGATGCAAAAATTATTTTTAAAAGGCAGAGTCCTGATAAACATCTTTTTTTTTTTTTTTTTTTTAAATGGACAAGATTTTTCTCCCCCTTTTTTTTGGTACTAAGGATTGAACCCAGAGGTACTATACCATTTAGCCACATGCCCAGTCCTTTTTATTTTTTATTTTGAGACAGGGTCTGCTAAGATGCTGAGGCGGGCCTCAAACTTGTCATCCTTTGACCTCCATCTTCTAAGTTGCTGAGATTACAGGTATCCACCACTGCCTGGCTACATAAGCATTTTTAAATCTCCAAACCGTATAAAGCTGGCTCTCGCCTCTTTTTTTCCTGTAGACCTTAAGTTGTGTTTCATTTTCCAAGTTAATAAAATGGCACAAATTATCCACAAATGTTAAATGGGTGGGCCATCATTACACCTTCTTTCTTTTTTGTAAGGATCTTCCAAGGATCCTCTACCACTAAGCTACATCCTCCACTCCTTTTTATGCTTTTAAATTTTGAGACAAGGTCTTGCTTTGCCCAGGCTGATCTTGAACTTATAATGTGGCCTCAGCCTCCTAAGTTACTGAGACCACACAGGCACCACTGCACTCAGCTTATTACATTTTTCCGATAAGGGGGGAAAAAACCTATGCAAGTAGATGGTCAGGTCTTTTTTCCCTTTCCCCCCTCCTAATTTTCCATAACTCTTATCTGACTCCAACTCTTGGAACTTTCTTCATATTATTCTGCCTTCTAAAGCACTGATAGTTAAAAGGATGAAGTCTGTCTGGATGAATAATCTTTATGCTTTGGGCTGGCTATTCAGGAAAAGGACCAGATTCTAGGATGGTGTCTGGGGCACTGGCCCCTCATATATTAGAAATTAGTAATATACTTACTTAAATGCAGCAGATAATGTCTTGTTTTTCCTTACAAAAGTGATCCTTACTAGGCCATCCCATTCCTGAAACAGAAGATGGATATTTCCTCAAAACACCAAACTCCTTGCCACTGCCTATTAGGTGTTGTTTTGTTTTTTTATTTGTTGACGGACCTTTATTTCACTTATTCACTTACATATGGTGCTGGGAATTGAATGCAGTGCCTCACACGTGCTAGGCAAGTGCTCTACCACTGAGCTCCAGCTCCAGCCTGTTTTTGTTTTTTGATGTATAAAACTGGAAGAAACCTTGAGTGATGCATATGGTATGCTAAAGTAAGATGTATTCTTGATTCTTGTGTCTTTGTGCCCTTCACTGAATATATATTTTTTTAAATTAAGAAAAAAATGTAAAATAGTCCTACATGTGACTAGGTTGGTCTCGAACTTGTGATCTTTCTGCTTCAGCTTCCTGAGTTGCTAGGATTACAGGCATATGTTACTGCACTTGGTTCCATGTTACTAGGGACTCTGCAGAAGGAGGACTGCAAGTTCAAGGCCAGCCTTGGCAACTTAACAAGACCCTAACTCAAAAGAAAAAAGGGTGGGGATGTAGCTCAATGGTAGAGTAAACCTGGGTTCAATCCCCAGTACTGTGTACAAAGTCCACATATTGTGTTCAAAAATAAGATTCTGCCAGGCACAGTGGTGCATGCCTGTAATCTCAGCAGCTCAGGACGCTGAGACAGGAGAATCAAAGTTCAAAGCCAGCCTTAGCAACAGTGAGGCGCTAGCAACTCAGTGAGACCCTGTCTCTAAATAAAATCGAAAATAGGGTTGGGAGTTCAGTGGTTGAATGCCCCTGGATTCAATCCTTGATACCCCCTCCCCTCAAAAAAAAAAAAAAAAAGATTCAGCCAGGTGCAGTGTCACACAGCTGCAATCCTAGCAACTCAAAAGTCTGAGGAAGGAGGATCACAAGTTTGACATCAGCCTTAGCAACACAGATCCTCATCAATTTAGTGACACCTCATCTCAAAAAAATAAGAAGGATGAGGGTTGTACCTCAATGGTAAACACCCTTAGTTTTGATCTCTATTATCAAACCCACAAAAAATTAAAAATGAGATTCAAAACAGACATGATTTAGGATATAGCCTGTGCAATGCACCTAAACCTCCTTAAAGGAGGTATGGACAAATCACTTAAAACAAGTTTATCAAACAATTATGTTTTTCTATAATGTGACTATAGTAAGATTTGACATCAAGTAGTCTAGATTTCTTTTTTTAAGTCACAAAAACAAGAATTTTTATTACAGAGTATTACCCAAAATATTACTCAAAACAATTTTCATTTTACCTTTTTTACAAGTTACTCAAATAGATAAGATTTTCAGACCTATACTCTCTTAAGTGCAATGCATTTGCATTCTAATTGTTTTGTCTTTTACAGACATATGTTTTGTCTTTCTATCATGCATCAAATTATTCCATCTACTCCATCATCACAAAGCTGTAATTCACATTTTCCTATCTATTTAGACCTACAATATTTTTTTCTGCTATTATAGCCACAGATTTTCTAAGTTAGAGTTCTTTTGTTTATTGAATGATATAGTATTTTAACCTCACCTGAAAATTGATAGGTGGTGGTGGATTCTTGGGTTCTATCCTTACAACACTGGATTCTACCTTGGGTGGTGGTCTGAAGTTATTCTTTCCAACCTGTTAATCAGAAAACATTTAATCCTCTCAAAAGCAACTTTTAGTTAGTAATCAAAGATTCTGTCCTCACAAAAGACACAGCTAGATGCTCAAAAGATGAGGTTACTAGCCTGTTTCAATAATAAAATACACTTACTTTCATTAGATGGTCCACTCGTGCTAATAGCTGTGTATTAATTGAGAGTCTGCAGTATAACTTATCTCCAGGTTTTGCAACCAGTCGGAGGGCAAATTCTCTTTGAAACATAAGTATAGCACATCTGAAAAGAAAACAAGAATAAGGAAATCATCACTATCAACTATGAATGTACTTTGACTACAATGAATTTTGAGGGGAAGGAAATAGCAGAGCAGTATCTGTAGTTAATGATGATGAGTTTAGCAGGTTAGAAGGTAGAAGACTTTTAAGCTTTAGTTTTGTTACCACAAAATGAAAATAGTTGGTTTTGTTATGTTTTATAATGGCCATATTCCTAACCCCAAGGAGGAATGCTTGCCCTCAAACATCAGATGAGTAGGTACTTCAGATCTGTACCAGTACATCACCCCTTATACAAAAACAATAAAACTGATTCTGTTGTTGGGCACAGTGGTGCACACCTGTAATCCTAGCTTCTCAGAAGGCTAAAGCAGGAGGATCTCAAGTTCAAGGCCACCCCTGGCAACTTACTGAGACACTGTCTTAAAAAATAATAAGGCCTGGGTATGAAAGTTCAGTAGTAAAGCACCCAAAGGTTCAAACGTCAGTACTACATATAAACACACAAAACTGACTGGCAGGTAATACTTTTAAGAAATACTGCAGGCTGGAAAGGCAAGTTTTGATATTATGTCCTGTTAGTTTAACAGTTTAAAGAATGTGGATTTTTTTCTTCAAGCAACAGGGAGACTTTGGGAGGCTAACAAAATCATCTTCAAAGCTGCATTTCAACTTTCTTTTCTGTGAGTGAATCACATTAAGAAATATATCTGCAATTACAAAAATATCTGTATGTATTTCTGTTTATATACTTCAAACCAAAGTTTCATGAAACAATATCACCTGGACCATGTACAGTGCCTTCTGATATATTCTATTCCATGTTATTAAAAAAAAAAAAAAAAGGATGATCATGACTCACTGAATTTACTTTATAACCATTAAGAGGTATCTGACTTGCAGTTTAAAAGCCACTGGATAGACTCTACCAGAGACCAGTTAGGAAGCCACTGCAATTTATCTAGACATAAGGTAATAAAATAGTATGATCTATGTTAATGGCAGAGGATTAGAAAATAGGGAAAGTCATACTACCCTCCCAATGCTCTACAAAATAACTCTGGTCAATTGAAAAAGAGAAAGAAATCCATACAGATCAATGTTTTCTATAAAAAGTCTACAACAGTTTTTCAGTTTACTTGACTTTCATTTTCAACTGTCTTTTGTGTTCCTGGCCTAAACTGTCCATCTTTCTTAAATATGGCAGTAATTCTTGTTTTTTTGTCACAAACCTGAAAAAAGGTCGGTGCAACAACAGCTTGAAGACAAAAGGAGAAGAGATCTGTAAGAGAATTACTAGTTACTCTCAGGAAAGACACATCAGAGAAACACTTAGTAAGATGATTCTGACAACTTGAGGACATACCTGATAAGGCAAATTTGCCACACAAGTATCAAAGAATGGCAAGTCTGTTTTCAACACATCACCCACCATAACTTGAAGTTTGCTGGCCAGAGGTCTAAAAATATGAAAATAAATTTAGAAGAATGTTGTTTCAAGAGACCGAAATGCACTTTAATTCTATTGTGTATACTCACGTGCCCTGAACTCTTTTGTGCAGTTCTGCTACTAGCCTTGTGTCAAGTTCACAGGCAATTACCTAAATTAACAAAAAAAATTTATTAGGTTCATTATGAAGTATCTTATTACCCAACCAGTAATTCTTATATGATTTAAACTGTCTTCCAATTTCTAACCATACTCCTTCAATTATTTTCTACCACTTTAAACAACAAAGAAAAAACATCACCCAGAAAAACAGACATTATGTGAGAATTCTTAAGTAATCACCAGAATTGTTTGTTCTGTTGGCTTTGTCTCTATGCTTTGTAACTAAGCAGTGGATAAAAAAAGAACATACAATATGTATGTAGTGTTTTTAGACCAGAGTTTACAAAACTACTCCTAGTATATTACTTCTTTCATCAACAGATCCAGAACATGTGGCATAAGTAACTACTCAAGTGAAAATGGATAGCAGACAAAGCTATGTTTGTAATTTTATTGCAATATGTTCTTAGGTTTCATTGACTTCCAAGAAGATCATGTGTATGGCTTAGAACACGTGCTGCTTATTTCTGGCTCCCAGATTCATTTTATATTTTCACCTTATATTTGATACTCATTTCACCTTTGCTTTGCCATATAAATGCTGTCCAGCTCCCTTATACTTTGGCTTCTGGTTGGGATTGGCCAGTGAAAGGCAGCAGCTGGACACCATTGTGGCTCAGTGGTGGAGCATTTGCCTAGCATGTGATGATTCTGGGTTCTATCCCCAGCACCAAAAAATAAATAAAAGCACCAAATGGGGTACCTATAATGGAGAGATTGGGTATTTATTTCCTAGCCTATTCCATGCCTTTCAGATATTTCAGTAGGAGCTATGTTCTGTTGTGGCTTCTCTTCAATAAATCACACTCTCCTTGGTCTCTCCCCTTTTAACCAGGCCTTTTGATGGTAACTGCTTCCTGCTGTAGCTACTCCTCATTATTTCATTAATGCTTATTGATTCCTTGAATACCATTCTCATACATCTCTAAAGAGTCTTCATCACTCTCTTTAGATAAGCCCTTTAAAATGTGTTGCTTGCTTCCACCAAGGACCCAACAATGATTCCACTTAACTGAAAGCTGGATTAGTCAAAACACAAAAAAGGTACTGGAAGTGACCAGGTGGCACCTCAATCTTAGAGGCATGAACTCTAGTTCTGCAGGTCTTCTATAAATTTCTGGGTTCCAAAAATTACAATTTCTTTGCTTTGTTTCTCTAGGGCTAAAGGCAGTTAACTGGTCTTTGTAATTATTTTGGGGTTTAGTGTTCCCATTTTGTTCTTTTAGTCCTCTAACTACAATAATTAATTCCCTGTCAAAATACCTAATATGTCAGTTTTCTTTTCTTTCTTTTTTTTAATGGTACCAGGAATTAAACCTAAGGGCACTTAACCACTAAGCCACACACCTAGCCCTTTATTTTGAGACAGGGTCTCCCTAAGTTGCCTTGTGATCTTACTACCTCAGCCTCCCTAATTTGCTGGGATTACAGGTGTGTGCCTCCATGCTCAGCTAATATGTCCAGTTTTCCTAATATATCTCATACTTTCTAAGATAAAATTCCTAGTAAGGGATCAAGCATTATAATTAAAACAGTTTTATGTTTGTATACCAGCTGAGCTTGCTACAGTCATTTGTGATATTAAAACATTAAACCTCATTTTTACCTTTTTTGCCTTTTCTAACAACTTTACAGTCATGTTGCCAGTTCCAGGTCCAACTTCCAGCACCACATCAGTTGGTCTTAGGGCAGCCTAAAAGCAAGCACAACCATTTGAGATCCTTTAGCATTTTGGAACACATAGTTTATACTTGAACATCTTTGTAAGCGTTCAGAGATCTTACTCAGACTTCATTTTAATGAGATTTCTTCATATGTGTGGTTCCAAAATTAATATATTAGGTGCAAATGAAAAGCTAAGACCTCTCTTAACCTGGGGTATACTTCTCATCTTTAGGAGTCAGAAAAACAAGAATAGCATTTCTTTCTATATTGTCTTTCTACTTAGGAAATGATTCCAATAGCATCCTGTTACCAACTTTGTTCATACCAACAAATTCAAATGGGAAAGAACTGTGTATGATGAATTTGACTAAGAATCAATATTTCTCAATTCTGACCCAGCCTGTGAGTCCTAGACCATTTTTTAACTCGTTCAACAAATATTTACCAAACATCTACTTTATGTCCGACATTCTCTCTTCGCTTAAGTATGGTGAAAATAAAATTTAAGAATCCAACAAACTCTTCTCTCCCGTTCCTCCATCACACCCACCTTATCAATAATGCTGTTAACAATGAGAGGATTTTTCAAAATGTGTTGCCCAATTCCCGTGTTGAACATGAGTCCTGGAAGAAAACACAAAACAGCCTTAATTTCTCAACCACGATTAGATATCAGGCCGTCCCAGAGACGAAAGCAGGATCGATAGTGGGGTTAGATTTCTGTGCCAACGAAGCCAGCGAACATCCCACCCCGGGCCGGGACTGACCACACAGCTTTAAGTCCATCCCCCCGCGGGCCTTGCTGGAGGCGACGCGCTGGGCTCTGGGGCCGGCGCTCCAAGAACCTCCGACATCCGCGCTTTCAGGAGCGCAGGTGGCGGCGGGCCATCTACCCGGGTTTGGGCCTCGGTCCGCGCCAGGAATGGTCCCGCAGGAAGACTGGACCGGAACCCTGTTTCCTCCCGGCTGTCCACACCTCCGGCGCTTTTTAGCTCCCGGCGCTGTTCCTGTCGCTTGCGGCAGCCGCTCGCCCCTGACTTGATCTTCGGCATCCCTGCAGAAAGCGAGAACCTAGGTTCGCGAAGTGTACAAGTCCCAAAGCTTGAAAGCTGTAGTCTCTGCAGCACTAGAGAGACGCTGCCAGTCACCGGTACGCACGACGTGGGGAAGGGGCGAGGCCCACGTTCCGCCTCCTTACGCCCTGGACTCCTCCCCCAGAAGGATGCGGAGCAGGGAGCCCAGGGGTCGCCGGAAATTGTAATCAGCAGCTGCAGGAAAGCCTGGACTCGGGAGCGACGAATCCCAGAAGGCACCGCGCCACCGATTCCGACAGTTTGGATTGGCTGGCTTAGAGTTGGGGCGGGGTACCTCGTCGCCGTCCACAAGGAGGTAGCGGAGAAGCTGTGTGGTACTCTAAGCGTAAGGTTTAAGTTATTTAATGTGGTTAAGCCTCCTCTATTAGGCCAGGTTCTGGGATCGCTGACATCCAGAGAAGTTTTCTTTCACGTATCTCTTTCCTGTTTACGTGCAGATTGCAGGGTGGAAACTCCTTACGTTTCTCCTCTGCTTGCTGTATAAAAAGGAACTCCGAAAATGGAACTAGCCTCTAGTTCCACTAGCGCTTCTGATTCCTTTACTTCCCTTTGTGCTTCATCATTCACTCTCTGTACATTTTTTTTTGAGCCCCAGCTGTGTATAGGCCACTGCTGGAAATTCACGGTTACATATTAGAGACTGCTCTCAAAGTTTATTCCACTGAGAGATCAACCAAAAGCTCCAAAACGCTGTAAGTGTGGTAATAGGTATGTATTGGGTGTTGTAATAGGAGTGTCAATCCGACTGTAACCTCCATGAATACAAGATCTGCGTCAATTTTACCTTCCAATGTAGTGGCTCTCAGTTTTAAAATTTTCAGTGTATACTCTATGGAAAAAAAGTCTTTTCCTGTCATTTCTAAAGAAAACTGTTTTGATGAGCAATTGATTGTGTGCATTCCCCCTTGTTTTCGTATCACAGTTTGTGTTTTTCAAAATGCTTTCTACATAATTTTTATTTTCTATTATTTTTTTTCTTTAGTAAGCAGGGATTTAACCCAGGGGCGCTTAACCTACTGAGCCACATTCCCAGCCCCCTTTTAATATATTTTTAGAGACAGGGTCTCGCTGAGTTACTTAGGGCCTCGCTAAATTGCTGAGGCTGTCTTTGAACTCATGATCCTCATGCCTCAGCCTTCTAAGTCGCTGGCATTACAGGCGTGTGCCACCAAGCCTGGCTATTTTCAATGAAACGTGAAGTCGTTTGGGCAAGCATAATTATCGTGTTTTACACTTGAGGGAATCCAGTCTCATAAAGAATAAAGGTATTTGCCTAAGTGCTACAGGTGTCAGAGATGGGGGACCTAGTTACTGTGTCAAAATAAGGCACCAGCCTACCTCCTGTGGGCTTCATTGGTTTCTACTTCCAGCTCTGTGTTGGCATCATAGTCCTTTGCCTTCATTGGTCAATGGACAGTGAAGCAAAAAGGTACTAGCTCAGACATTCCAACTATAATTTAAATCAATTTTTATTTTTAATGACAATCTAAAATAAGATCCAGAGGATCTGAAAATATTAAGTTAAAAGATTAAATCTTTGACATGAATGTTAAAGTAAGCTATGTCTGTGTTGGAAGTGTAACTCAGTTGTAGAGCACTTGCCTACTATGCTAAAGGTTCTGGGTTGGAATGAGAAAAGGGGAAAAAAGGCTACATCCAAGTTAACAATCAATGCATAAAGTAAGTAAAGCTAATTTTATTTTTTCCACTCCTATGAATTTCCAGGGACCCAAAGATAAGACAGCTACATTGAAAACAAAATCACAGAATCAAACCAAAAACTTAACTTGTAAAAGTCTTGGAAAATACAGAAAGTAGAAAAAAGATGAAAATGTTACCTATGATTTCATTATGCTGGAATAATTTATGATCATTTTGACACATTCTTTCTTTTTTGTTGTTTTAGTAATGCATGTTTTTACATAGTCAGGGTATACATACAATTTACTGTTTTTTTTCCATAAATACAATAACACAAAAGACACTTGTGTCTATAAGTGTAATTCAGTAGTAGAGTAAGAGCCTGGCATGTACAAGCCCCTGGGTTTGATCTCCAGTACCACAAAGAAAAAACACTTTTTCAAGTAATTTCATGTCCTGGATAATCAATATTCACAGCTCCTGAAGAAGAAGATTTCATCTTGTGAATGTATATGTTTACTATTAAATCATTTCTATACCATTTGTCATGTAAAATAAATTGAGTCTTATACATTTTAGTGCATTCATGAAGAATATTTCTATATCCTTTAGTGTAGAGTTCCAAGAATGAGATTATTTAGTCAAATTATATGAACATTTTAGTCTTTGGATATATATTGACAAATTATTTTCAGAAACAGTTTAATCAATTTTCATTTTCACCAGAAGAATAAGAGAAATACCCCTTCACTTTATTTTTGCTATTATGTTTCTTTTTCCAAACTAGAAATAATTGTATTTATTATTTTGTACTGTTCAAGCATTACTTGAATAAATACATAAATGAAAATCATTTAGATACCTAAAAGATTGTAGGTGATGAAACTATCCAGAATTCACACCTATTAAAATATTGGTGTGTGTTTTTCAAAAGTTTTTGATACATAAAACTCTTCTAACTTCCTAATCTTACTTAACTAAATATTCTGGGCATCTTTTAATGTTAATGAATAAAATCTGCATCATTTTTAACAGACACTCAATTGAATGAACATATCATAGCTAATATAATCAATCTTTACTAAAAGAATTTGTTATAGTTTGAAGTTTTGATTAAAAATTAATCTATGAATTATAGTAAAAAAGATGAAATCATTTCTCAAAGTCTTAATCCTTATTTGGTATGTTATAAACATCTAATGGGTAAACTTATAAACATCCAATGAGCTGTATTATAACATAGACTTGCCCAAGTCCTAATTTTGTACAAGTTGCAATAATAAATGAAGTGTAGTAAGTTAGAAAACCTATGGCCCTATAATATGTAAATATTTCTCTTGCTGCTTTAACAACATAGATTTATTATCTTGGAATATGGAGATGAAGTTAAGAATAGTCTACAGGGCTTTTTGTTTTTTTCCAGAGGCTGTGGGGGAAAAAACTTTTCCCTTATTTTCCCAACTTCTACAGGTTGCTCACATTCCAGCTCATGGGGCCCCCGCACTGCTCTGACCCGTACTAGCATGGTCATATTTTATTCTTTCTCACACTTTTTAAAATAAGTGCAAATTATTTATATTGATTATTTGAAAGGGAGCAACTTAATGCCTAATAACCCCAACCATTTGGAAGGAGCCTGGAAGAAAGCAAGAAAGTTCAAAAGTCAGTGACTTATTGTCAAAAAATACATGCTCTGAAGTTTACTTTCTTTATTCACAGAAAAGCTCCTCTGTCCCTTATTCAGTCTCTTTATTCTTATTTTAGGCCCTAATAGTTTAAAAATAAGCATTATTTTAACTTTAAAATATTTTGGAAAGCATTGTCTTTGTTGGCCAAAGATAGGAATGAGTTCTCTCCTTTAGTTGGGCTGATACCCTGTGGAGAGGTAAATGTTTCAGGACACCTGGATTCCTCAAAATGCCCCTTTGCTTTCCCCTTATTTTCTATTAAAATTATAATAATCTTTTAGATATAATCACACAGATTTTTGCTCTGTTGGTGTGATAATTTACACTTGTATGTACCTGTACAGACAGAGTCTGCAGCTCTGCTATGCTCAGGAGGAGAAAGTGTTGGAACTTTCATGGCCTTTTTTTGGACAAATGAGGCTGATAACAACAGGGTTCAGTCATATCTTTATGACCTGATTGGGCAGGCTTAATTGGCACACCCCTTTTCCATCTTTGGATTTGATTTCTTCTAAGAGCTTTGCAAGCATTCATGTGTTGAAAATTTTTTAAACAGAGTATAGTTTTAATTAGAAAATGACTATATGAACTATTTTACAGATGATCATGGGAGAAGATAAAACACAAGAATGTCATTCATTTCATTATTTTTGATGGAAGTTAGAAAAATTAAGTACTCTGACTTTAGTAATATTCAAATGAAAAACTGACAGCTTGAATACATTTGAAATCATTGTCACAGAAGATTGGGGTTAGTTTTAGTCTAATAGTGTGCCTAGGTTTTTTTGGTATAAAAAGTATGTTTAAGGCAATTTCTCAAATCTTCCTTCCAAGCCGCCTCTCTGACACTCTTGATTTTTTAAAAACCCTCTTATGAAAACTCCAATGATTACATTTGATCTGCAGGATAATCTAGAATTATCTTCCCCTACCAGGATCCTTACATTGGTAAAATCTCATTTGTTATGTGAGGTAATACATTCACAAGTTTGGGGGATGCGGATGTGGACGTCTTTTTTTTGTACCTGTCATTATATACATACTGCATCTGAGTTTGAGTCTGTGCTCTTCCACTTAAGAATCTAACTTTGGAAAAAAAATGACTTAATTCCTATGAACATCATCTTTTAATCTGTAAAATGAAGAAAAGACCACTCTCCATTCTAGATGAGGGTGATGAGAACTTATAAATTACATAAGACGTCACAAGTTAAATGCCAGTCCTTAAAAACAGAACAGTAGTTGACATATAGGAAATTCTGGTTTGTTTTTGTTTTTTAAACAGGGTTTCTCTTGAGTTGTGCAGGCTGGCTTTGAACTTGTGTTCTTCTTGCCTTAGCCTTTCAAGAGGCTGGGGCTGCAGGTGTACACCACCATGCCCCACACATAAGAAGTATTTATTGGAAGTTAATTATAATAATGTAATTATTGAGGCAGAATGAGTGTTACTTATTGTGATGAGTTTTTTAAATTAAGATTGACAGGGAATGGAAATCAATGTTTTTTTAATTTAGCATTTGCTTCATTAACTTTCTGCTTTTCTTTACTGTTCTCAGCTATATGTGGGGGAAAACAGAATTTATATTAAGATTTCAGATGTATCACAACAGGCCCAATGGTGTTAATTTAAATATTTGTTTACTCTTTTCTCTAAAAACCCTGAGAAAATGACATGATTTATTCAGTTGTACATATTTATTTTGTTCATAGTATGTGACTAGCTTTTATATTCACAGTACCTAGGACCCCCAAATGGATTTGGTATCCTTACATTATTGGAAAAATTTACATACATGCATTTTTATGGTTTGGTTTTCTTCCTTTCTTTTTAAAAAAATTTTTAATTTTTTTCTTTTTTTTTTTTTTTTTTTTTGTTGTAGGTAGATGTAGTACCTTTTTATTTTATCTATGTAGTGCTGAGGATCTAACCCAGGGCCTCACACATGCAAGTGCTCTGCTGCTTAGCCACAGTCCCATCCCCGGTTTTCTTCCTTTCTTTTTTTTTTTTTTTTTTTGATCCCAGGGATTGAACCTAGGGGTGCTTAACCACTCAGCCACATCCCCATCCCTTTTTATTTTTATTTTGAGACAGATTCTTGCTGAGTTTCTTAGGACCTCACTAAGTTGCTGAGGCTGGCTTTGGACTTGGATTGCTCCTGTCTCAGCCCCAAGAGTTGCTGGGATTTCAGGCTTTCACCTACCACACCTGACACATTTTTCTAATGTAGAGATTTCCTTTGATTTCCAAATGGTCCATTATCCAAATAGGTGAGATCTACTCTTCTAAACCAGTTTTTCTTCTATTTTGAAATAGGTAACTTTTTTTGCATCAAAATTCCTTAGAGTCCTGTTTCTCATACTGT